ATTGTATATAATTTCATTGACACTACGTCGGTTAAGAAAAGAACCTCAAGTTTTTAAAAACAAATTTTACTTAGGAATTTCTGTACACAATAATGGAGCATTGACATTAACTCTATGCCCTATGATTTCTTTCACAACTGATGACTAATAATTGATTGGAAAAAGAAAAGAATTTGATACTTATTCTATGTGTACGTTTACTCCAAAGATTAACGGGTGTTAACAGAACAGAACAGTTTAAAATTTTCGTCGAGAGTCTGACACAATATCATTGGACATGGAATTAAAGTTTAAACACATAACCTCCATTTTCACGCAATTATTTACGTTTATATGAAGTAATAGAGTATTTCTCAGTGTTACCTGTCTACAAAACTTTATGCGACTTAACATTTTTATAGGCAAATGTAAAAACACAGGAATAGAATAAAATTTCACTCTTGTTGTTAGTTTCTTCAATAAATGTGTTTCACGAGTTCTCGAATATTATTGTGATTCATTCTGAATATAAAAATAACTGGCACGTATTGATTAGTTCTTGTACTCATGTATAAACACCTGTTCGCAAGAACAAGGAAGATTGAATAATTACCGAATGAGTAAACGACTGTGCACTGCTCACAAACGTGTCTGACTTTTACTCGTTATTTCTACTTGCGTTGTTCACAATATATTGATAAATACCGTGAACCATATAACATTCGCTTGTCAGATATATAGCATTAGCTTGGCATCAACTAATCTTTACAAGATAATAAAATCGATGAAGATAAATAACTGTAAACCCTTGGCAACGTTTGCGGTAAGTAGAAGTAGCAAATACTGATCAGACACGTTAGCCGAACGAGATCTGAATTCGTATTCCATGCATCCGTTGGGCTTTCAAATTCAAAGAACTCTCTACTGGTAGAAATTTGAAAATAATATTCTTTAAAAAATATAAAACAGAATGAATAAAAATGTCTTGATAAATGTCGAAAGCATTTTGTAACTAAACATAAAAAATATGCATCTGTAAGAGTAACTTTTAAATATTCCTTTAAGAAACTGAAAAATTTTAGTTACAAAACCAAAGAGAGTTTTCCCTGGCTCATGATTTTGTAGTTTAAAACCACACCAGTACAATTAGCATTTTGGAGTAAAAATGGAATTATTAAAACAGCAACCAAATTACTCTTCCGCGAAATTCAAAGACACGTATTGTAGTGGTTTAAGTATTACATTATATTTATTTGAAAAAGTATTTATATGTCATAATATGACACGTTACATTAGTTTGATAAAACTTAAACTTCTGGAAATACCCTGAACGTAGCAGTAAAAGATAGAAAAGAATTATTTTACCCGATGAAAGAAGATTCAATTTAGATAGGTCCGACGGTTCTCTTAATATTTCCATAGTATACGAAAAGATAAAGAAGACAAATGAGTGATAGGGTTACGTATATCACGTGAAACGTTTTGTGATACAGATAGTTTTTGTCGAATTTAACAATTTAATAATTTTGCAATTTAACATATTACAAATGTCTAAATAAAAATTTCTGAATTATATAAAAATGATAAACCCTGAAATAAAAGAAATTCTGTAACTCCTAAAGAAAGAAGTTCTTTTTATCTCCAGGACGAGCCGAGTGCATTGCCAAAATTTGACCTCCTATTTCGGTCACAGTCTATATATGTATCCAACGTTCTACATTCAACATCACTGAATAATACATTATATACACACATGTGTAACAACATACCATGTCACATTAAATGCACACATAAATAACATTAAATAATCGTCAGTTGAATAAAATACAGCCAAATTAAATAATTAAATGAAAGAACTTTCTTCCAATAGTACAATTTTGTGTGTAATACTATTTACCATTTTTATGTATATTTCTATTTTTACCAACAAGTAAATTAGCAAAATCTATTGAAATATTTAATATAATCTGACAAAAGCATATGCCATTAAATTAATGCAACAATCGTTATAGGAAAAGTCGAAAAGTCAATCAAGGAAATATGATTAAAGTCAGAAAATAATTTTAAATTAACATTTTAAAAGATATCTTTTGACACCTTCAGTAAAAGTGAACGATAGATAAACTACGGATCTTCATGCAAATTTAAATGTTTAAATATAATATAATGCTTAGAAATATAAAAAAAAATGTGTTCTCCAAACAAATGGAAGCTTACAGAAAGCACTACACTTTCGATATTTCGTATATCTCTTCGTATAGGGTGCACTCAGTACAATTTTGCATTTTCTGGTTCCCCATAAGCGCGTTTAGATCCGCAATCTAGTGATCAATTTCCCATTCCTATTTGTTATCCCGAGCCAATGTTTGTCTTCGAGGAACAGGGCAAGAAGCGTCAGCAGCGATGACCTTCGAGAAAGGGAAAGAGTGGAAACACGCCCCATAGGAACACGCACTGCGTAGA